GTCAGGACATGCCAGACAGGAGGCCATAGTGCTGGTGCAACTGGATGTGGTCACGATGGGGGCTACGGAGGCAGATCTGGCCTCCAAGATGCATGCCATTCCATCACCACCACTGCAGCAGTGGCAGAAATGGATGCATTCTTTGGAAGCTGCCGTTTCTATGGATCATGCTGCCCAAAGCAGGCTGCCCTGGCTGTATCCAATAGGGAATGCTTCCAGTCCTAAGAAGTTTCCATGAGTCCTATTTAAAGTAAGTGGCAATAAGGTTCTAAAACACATATAGGTACATTCAACCCTTGCTGAGTGCTCTTGGAATGACTTAGGAATCGGGTGCCATTTGGGGACCAATTAATTTTCCTCACTTGGTGAAATACACTCAGAGTCGCAAAGTGATTTCATGCTCTTTATTCAGCTCATAGTGGTGAGGAGGAATGAATGAAAGTCCCCTCAAAGTATCTGCTTTATATACATTATTTACACAATGGGCTGCACATGATTGGCTAATTCCGAATTCTACTGTAAGCCAATCAGGTTGTGGATTCACTTCTATCTGGAGCATGATTGGGTGGTTCCTGCCAACCAATCATACTGCTGCATTGTTCTAGGACCAATCAGACTGCTGCATTTTGGATCCTATTGTTCTAGGACCAATCAGACTGCTGCATTTTGGATCCTATTGTTCTAGGACTAATCAATCTGCTGCAGTTTGGATCCTATTCAACTCAGTACATAACACTTGGACACACATTCATGGTGAGGGAGGCTTTTTAAAGCTAAGAAATCCTTTTGTCTTCAAATTATGTGGCCCCGGAGAAAACTGTTCAGAGATAGGTTATTTTTAGAATAGTTTCCCAGAATTTAGAAGGAAATGGCAGCATGTAAATAGCAGAGATGTAAACTAATTTGTACAAGGCGGACATACAAGTAGAGTTAGCGTCCATTAGCTCAGAGACTGAAAGATTAAAAGAATCAACTAAAAGGTACAGAAAGGACTATGAGTTCCTTTGAATGGCTATAGCCTGTGAAAGAATTAAGCTGATGCTTAACCTCCGTTACAAGAGTAAAGACACTGATGGCCAACAAACCAGATGTTGGAGTAAACAAATTGGCTTGTGCACTAAGAATAACTAGTCAGATTACATCTGTCAAATTTAGGCAGGAATTGGCTTGGTTTATAGCAGACTGGATGGCATGCAATAAATTGCTTATAGGCTGTCAAGTTCAGAAGGTGCAAAGGGAGAGAAAAATCCTGCTCCTTATCTATCTTAACACACACACACACACACACACACACACACACACGAACACACCAAAAAAGAATTCACGTTATATTGACCACTTTGTGGACTGCTGTTCAGATAATGAGAGGAAGAAAGTGGCTGTTTCAAATGACAGTGCTATTATGAATAAAGCAAGGATGGAAAGAAACTGAGAGAAAGAGTGGTGGTTTTAAATAATGGCAGAGGTTTCAGCAGAGTGAGTTTTTGTTGTTTAGTCGTTTAGTTGTGTTCGACTCTCGAGGAATTGGTGCTTTTGAATTATGGTGCTGGAGGAGACTCTTGAGAGTCCCATGGACTGCAAGAAGATCAAACCTATCCATTCTTAAGAAAATCAGCCCTGAGTGCTCACTGGAAGGACAGATTGTGAAGCTGTACTGGCCACCTCATGAGAAGAGAAGACTCCCTGGAAAAGACCCTGATGTTGGGAAAGATGGAGGGCACAAGGAGAAGGGGACGACAGAGGACGAGATGGTTGGACAGTGTTCTCGAAGCTACCAGTATGAGTTTGACCAAACTGCAGAGTGAGTAGGGGATGACAAACATGGGTGAGAAGTGGAGTTTAAAACAAGGTTTGCTTTTGGGTGTTATTTGCTGAACCAATCTCTGCTATTTCTCCTTGTTTAAACTGCTTTGTTTGTTTGATGTTGTTGTTGTTTTATATAAAAAAGCAGCTCATTGGTAGCTCTCCATCCCTGCTTTACTCAAGCCTCTGTTGTTCTTTATACCATCATTTCCCCCTCAGTGTTACTCCACCCACACTTCATTCAAACATCTGCTATTGTTTAAAACTGCCACTTTCTTCCTTTCAGCTTTTCTCCCTTCTTGTTGTCAAATATTTCCCTCTTCCAATTCTCACCTGCCTCATGTGAGAGAGATAAAGGATGTGGATCTCTCAAATATCCCATAGAACCTTCACACAATCACACAGTTCACTCCTGGTACCAGGTGCTATCTTCAACGTGAAATTCCACATTCGATGTAGCAATTTAGAACAGAAATTTTATCACCAAGCACACACTAATAAATGTACGCCCTCCATCATCTGACCTTAACCTTCCCTTAACTGTCAGGCTTGCTCCTGAGATTCTAGTCATCATAAAGATACAGTTACATGCATCGTCGTGGGGTAAGTGTGCAAAGGGGTCTGCAGAATAGAAGACACGGAGAAGGCTAGGAAATGGGGGTGTGGAAGGGAGAGTTGGAGAAAAAAAGGGGTGAAGGTGAAAACGGGGCACAGAGGTAGTTGCAAAAATGGAGAGCAGGAGGCATGGGGTGAAGATGAAAGCTGGGACATGAAAGGGTATGCAGAATAGGAGTGGATGACTGGGCAGAAGGTGAAAATAGTGCTTAGTAGCTGCAATTGTGCATTGAGTGCACAATTGCACTCATTTCACACGCTAGCAAGGTTATGCTTAAAATTCTACAAGGTAGGCTCAAGCAGTAAAGAAGGCTGATTACTGAAGAATTGATGCTTTTGAATTTTGGTGCTGGAGGAGACTCTTGAGAGTCCCATGGACAGCAAGAAGATCAAACCTATCCATTCTGAAGGAAATCAGCCCTGGGTGCTCACTGGAAGGACAGATCCTGAAGCTGAGACTCCAATACTTTGGCCACCTCATGAGAAGAGAAGACTCCCTGGAAAAGACCCTGATGTTGGGAAAGATGGAGGGCACAAGGAGAAGGGGATGACAGAGGATGAGATGGTTGGATTCTCGAAGCCACCAGCATGAGTTTGACCAAACTGCAGGAGGCAGTGGAGGACAGAAGTACCTGGCGTGCTCTAGTCCATGGGGACATGACTAAATGACTAAACAACAAAAGCTGCAATGTGTGTGAGGAGGAAGATAAGGGATATTATCAAGGGGGTAGGTTGTGTGCACAAAACGGGGAAGGGGAGGCATGAGAATGGAATTGAAGGTAAAAATGGGTAAAAGGTGTGGCTTTGGAGCAGAAGAGAGAGGTGGCTTCAGAAAAGGTGGAAAGTTGAAGAGCATGTTTAGTAGCTCTAGGGGATTAAAAAGGGGAAAATTGCGGGGGTGGTGTGTGAGCAGGGGCACAGCCTCCTTTTTAAATGGCAGTCCACTTTGCAAAATTTAGGAAAGAGCATGTATTATGAAAACAAAAACCTTTCCTTGCTAAATCTAATGGAAACTCCAACTATAAAAGCAATATAAGGAAAGAGAGTTATTCTCCCTCTGTGTGTACATATTTTCTTAGGCTGGAAAGCCTTTTAAAAGGTCACGCTGATTCAGCTAAGTCTCCCCCAAGTGACATTATAAGAGCCGCATGTCTCTTGTGTTTACACTGGGTATCAGTATCAGTAATAGACACTCTGTAATTGCAAACAACATTGTTGTTGGTTTAATATGTTTCTCAGAGAAAATTTCCTGACCTTCAGAGAGTTTGGAAACATGCATGGTAAGACTAAAGCTAGGCATTCCACAGAAAACAATGGGTTTGCCAACCCTGGATAATGCCACTGGCTCCAAAGTGACGAAAGAGGGTGCAATTTTGGGGGTGGGGAGAGAAGTCCCAGGTAAATGAGGGGTGTTTCAATTCCTTTCTGATCACCACTTTCCCCCTTAAACTCCATTTCTCTCTTTCCCCTTGCCTTATTTAAAGATTTCCTTCTACATTCCCCAGCATTTACTGCTTTCAGCCTTGCTCTCCCTCTGTAAATGGAATGAAATGACATTTTAGCTGTAGCCTGCCTTGAGTCCCTGTCAGGGAAAAAGGTGGGATGTAAATAATAATAATAATAATAATAATAATAATAATAATAATGGAAACTGTGAGAATGATCAGGAACATACCAGAGAGTAAATCTTATTGAATTCAGTAGGGCTTAGTTCTGAGTAAATATGCTTAGGATTGCAGTTTAAGGCTCCATAATCTTTACCCAGTTACTTGGGTGTAAGCTCCATTGAATACAGTGGGACTTACTTCTGAATAGACATGTAAAGGCTTGCAGTGTAAAATTTACAATAAAGGAATAAACACTCCACACGATTCCTAAAAATGGCTGACGGCTGAAGCATTGCAATTAAAGAATTTAACGTGGATTGGTTACATTTTCTTTCAAAATTACTAAATTACTCCACACAGTGTCATAGAGAACACAGCATTAAACATCACGAAATAAGACAATCCTGTGTGCTGCAGGAAATAAACTCATTTCTAAACTTTCTGGCCTACAGATGTACTTCCACACCTCATTTCTCTTGACAGCTCCTCACTATCACTGAAGCTGTTGAACTGGAGAGCATATTGCCAACCACATATTATTGCTCTTTGTCAAAAGTACATGCTTAGAGCTGCATCTAGTTACAGAAACTAACCTTGATCCTTGGAAACATCCCAATCTTTCTATGCTGTTGGGTGCTATCAACAAGAGGTGTGCCGAAAAGCTCTGCTAGCCAGGAGAGTTGGTGGAGTGATTGTGGCTTAGGAGTGCAACATGTAAAAAGTCCCTGGTTCAAATCTTACATGTAACTTGTAAAATTAGGGGAGTTGAAAGGGAAAACATCTCATCACTAAATCAAAATACTGTTAATGTCTTCTTCCAGATGGACCACCATATCTTGCCCTAGTTAGTACCTCATAGTAGTCTTTAAGATTTTTTTTTCCTCAAAGCCTCTAAGCTCACAGAGAGCCCATTTCACTGCATAAAGGCAAAGAATGAGATCATCAATACATGGCATTGAATCTGACTGCAGGACTGCAACCATTGATAGCTCAACTGGTTAGAGCATGGTGCTGATAATGTCAAGGTCGCAGGTTCAGTCCCCATATGGGACAGTTGCATCTTCCTGCATTGCAGGAGGTTGGACTATATGATCCTCACGTTCCCTTCCAACTTTACAATTCTATGATTCTATGATTGGAAGCTCCCCTTAAGTAGTTTGCCCTTAATGGCACTAGGGAAGGTGCTTAATGTGAGTCCGGAGAGGAGCTTTGATAAGCTGGGCTGGTCCCTGACATATACAGCGACAAAATAAGGAAAAGGCAAGAAGAACATGGGTAAATGTCAACAAATGCAGCTTGGGCTTGTTTGGCCACTTCTTAAAATGAGCTCTAAAACATTTATTCTTGCCTCTTCCTTACTTCTGATGCCTTGTCTATTATGTAAATGTCAGTTTTAACTTGCTTGGTGTAGGGATCAGCCTTATTTGGTATGTTGAAGCATATGTAAGAACAATATATTCATTGGCGGGGGGGAGGGAGTCAGTGATTTCCCAGGGCTGTGTCATGCGATAAACGCGACATCTGAAAGCAGCCTAACAGCAACAAGGAGAAATAATTTAAGAAGGAGAAAGCGTTCTGAAATATTGCACTGAAATATTGGCGTGCATATGTCCCTGACACAAACAGGTGGAAATGGAAGAAGCGAAGTCTCTTAACGGCTGTCGGAGATGCTCTGGCAAGGAACACCATGGAAATACAAATAAGAAAACCAGAAGGAAGAAGAAAAGGAAGGTCTAGTTCAGATACTTAGTGGCTCCATTATGATTGCCTTTAGACGAACACAAGGTTGTTGACAGCCTTGTGGCAAACACTGAGCCAATGTAGCACCCATGTCAAAAGTCAAGGGTGAAATGGGACCATAAAATACTCTGCTGAACAAACAAACAAAAAACCAAATGTACTTTTCTTTTGTGGCTGTTCATAAACATTCCAGTCGTGACGGTCAGTGCCATTTTGTTCTTCCCACATTGCACTGCAGTTTATCGGACAGCTTTGTTGCTGGAAGACAGCAAAAGTGACCCCATTGCCTAGGCAACTGTGTGACACGCTATTGTTTTGGCACTGTGCTGCAGCACAGCTTTGGAAGAAAAGAAAAATAGCATAAGGGACACTAGGCAATGCTTCCTGTCTCACCACACTGTGCTCCAGGATTGTGCCAGAAGAAAGACAAATGCTGAGCACGCAATGGGTGAATTTTGTAGGCCCCACAAAGCAAGGATGGAGGGGTCCAACTTTGGACCCTGTGTGAACAAGGCTGAAAGGTCAGAGAGCAACTTTCCACCCATGACCTAACATGGATCACGTGGAGGTAGTCATGGTATGAAATGGTGTCTCCACACTGGGGCTCTATACTTAGCCGCTCTGATTTTCATGACTGCAGCAACTCAGGAAGAGGTCACTATTGTCATCCAAATCACATAGGACTCATGTGGAGAAACCCTTTCATACAACTGGTGTCTTTACATGACATTAATGGTCATTCATAAATCTGCAGGCCACTGTGTGAAAGCTATTGTGCATCTTAATTGGGAAATATGATCTTAGCATTTTCCTCCCAGATTGAGCAAAAAGGACAAAAAGTGAAGTGTCTAAATTAATAGCAACAACCCTATAGCTTAATTTTCCCAACTATTCTCCACAAGAAAGGTGAAGCCTTCCTATTAGTGGTAAAAAAAGCAGTATTGCTCACCTGGGAAATGTACATTCCAAATCTTTCCAAGACCACAACTTGCATTTAATCAGCCTCTTTTCCCCCGAGTATGAGAGCAGAGCAAAAGTGCAGAATATTTTAAAGTTTTACTGGAAGAGCAAAGCTGGGATGAATGCTTGTGAAGACAAATAATGAATAAATATGCCTCATCTATCACAAGGGCTATGCAAATGGCTGTGCATTTTCTCAAAGAAGAGTATCATCAAAAGCAAACCTTTTTGGAGATCAAAGCTTCCTTTAGATAATTCCGCTGTACCATCCTTGAACTGTGAGCCTGATCCGAAAAATATGAAAGGGGTCGGGAAAAGGTATTCTCGACATTATGAACTGCCATTTGCTTTTGAAGCAAGGGGATATTTTAAAAGGAAAACAATATAGCACTGATGAGCTGCATATCCTTAAGAGCAGTACATTTTCATGATTATGAAAGCAAATGATTTTGTACTATGAATCCTATCAACTCCAGGACAAGGCAGTATTTGGAGAAACTAGAAAACATGGTGTGTATAAATGAATTATTTGGCTGAAGTGTATACTTACAACCCTGTGGCTGAATTCTGGGGGCTCTGATGTGTACACTGAACTCTGTGCCCTATTGTTTTCAAATATCAGATAGCAAGGAAGAAGAAGAAGAAGAAGAAGAAGAAGAAGAAGAAGAAGAAGAAGAAGAAGAAGAGTTTGGATTTGATATCCCGCTTTATCACTACCCGAAGGAGTCTCAAAGCGGCTAACATTCTCCTTTCCCTTCCTCCCCCACAACAAACACTCTGTGAGGTGAGTGGGGCTGATAGACTTCAAAGAAGTGTGACTAGCCCAAGGTCACCCAGCAGCTGCATGTGGAGGAGTGGAGACGCGAACCCAGTTCCCCAGATTACAAATCTACCGCTCTTAACCACTACACCAAACTGGCTCTCTTAAGGAAGACTTACAACAACTGATGCGCATTTTTCCCAAAAAAAGAAAATGAAGGAAAACCAAAATGGTGACCGCTGGGTTTCCTGTGCAGAATGAAAAATGAACCATTGTTACCTGAACCAAAGGTTCAGTTTGGGGGTATGATGCTACTGCAGACTGTATTTTTCTTTCATTCATTTGCTTAAGACAATGTCCTTCAAGACATACTGTCTGTATAGGGAAAGCTTTCATGTATGAAATTCCTGCCCCAGGCACACTGAAGAAAATCTGGAAATTCCATGCACAACTTGGATGTGCAAGTCCCATGTATATGTGTGCTCAGTGCTACAGTGGTACCTCGGGTTAAGTATTTAATTTGTTCCGGAGGTCCGTTCTTAACCTGAAACTGTTCTTAACCTGAAGCACCACTTTAGCTAATGGGGCCTCCCGCTGCCGCCGCGCCACCGGAGCACGATTTCTGTTCTCATCCTGAAGCAAAGTTCTTAACCTGAGGTACTATTTCTGGGTTAGCGGAGTCTGTAACCTGAAGCATCTGTAACCTGAAGCATATGTAACCCAAGGTACCACTGTATTTTTCTAGAAAAAGCACTCATCATGAAAGCCTCCCTTGTTCTCCTAGAATAAGGTTACCAGACGTCCCCGTTTCCCAGGGACAGTCCCCAGATTTACTAATCAGTCCCCTGACAAATTCCTATCATTCCTACTGAAGTTGAAAAGTGTCCCTGGATTCATTGAAAAAAATCTGGTAACCTTGGACCTAGAATGGCAATGGCCCCCACCTGAGAGCTGTCAAAACTGAGTTCCAGTGAGTTCCGGCTGGGGGGGGAAGCCCTGTGTTCACTTCTGCGTGTTCACACACAAGAACTACATTAGAGTCCCTGCATTGACAGAACAGCAAAATCAGCCAGCGCTAACATTCACTATGTAAACTACATGGGGGGGGGGGCTGCATAATATTTACATACCGAGTTATTTCAAGTAACACGCTAAATCAGATAAAATTAAATTGTTACATTTTCCACTCTCCGTGGACTTTAAAGAAAACCCAGTAAAACAGCTCCCTAGAAGTTCTCGATTAAGAAGAGTTTAATAGAATGCCTACACCATTGCTCAGGAATAAAAATCACTTCATTAAGTACTTGGAATTACATAAATTACACCAACCAGCAAATTTACATAATGATCGAAATTTGCATTTTGCATGGTGTGATAATAATGGGTTTAGAGAGTAATTGTTCACAAACTTTTGCTCAGTCCGAAGCTTCAATATTGTTGCGAGGAAAACTTGATGGATGTCTTCTGCGATTATCTCTCTCCCCCCCCCCCTTTTAATCTAGCTATGTCTCTTAGTCCCATTGCAATATATAGTTAGTTTGATTTGTAATTCCCTTCAGCCAAAAGCACACAAATGTTCAAAAACTGAAAGGTAAACAGGATATCCATCAGAAATATTATACTTTCCAAATTTACCATACATTAGAATTTCCATTTTTTAAATATGACAAATTCTAGACACCAGGACTTGTACTCAAAACAGCCAAGTGTCATATGGGTCCCTGAAGACCAATATTTTGTGTGTGTGTGTGATTTAGGTTTTCATGGACTGGCACTCGCTTCAGCAGATGTATTTAATAGTGTGGGTTCTAGACGATGAAGCTTATGCCACAATAAACCTGCTAGACTTTAAGGCAGCCTTTCCCAGCCAGGAGCTCTTCAGAAGTTTTGAATTATAACTCCCATCATCCCAGAGCATTGGCTGTAATGGCTGGGGTTGATGGAAAATGTAGCCCAAAAGTCTGGAAGGCACCAGATTGAGGAAGGCAGCTTAAAGGTGTCACAATATATTCTGGGGTGAAATGTGAATTTAAGTATGTAGGTTGGGATGGAATCACCAAATGCTATACAGTGGTAAAGGTAAAGGGACCCCTGACCATTAGGTCCAGTCGTGACCGACTCTGGGGTTGGGGCACTCATCTCGCTTTATTGGCCGAGGAAGCCGTTGTTTGTATTAGACAGCTTCCGGGTCATGTGGCAAGCATGACTAAGCCACTTCTGGCGAACCAGAGCAGTGCACGGAAACACCGTTTACCTTCCCTCCAGAGCGGTACCTATTTATCTACTTGCACTTTGACATCCTTTTGAACTGCTAGGTTGGCAGGAGAAACAGTGGTACCTTGGGTTAAATACTTAATTCGTTCCGGAGATCGGTTCTTAACCTGAAACTGTTCTTAACCTGAAGCACCACTTTAGCTTATGGGGCCTCCTGCCGCCGCCACGCCGCCGAAGCACGATTTCTGTTCTCATCCTGAAGCAAGGTTCTTAACGTGAGGTACTATTTCTGGATTAGTGGAGTCTGTAACCTGAAGCGTATGTAACCTGAAGCGTATGTAACCCGAGATACCACTGTATTGCAGGCTTCCTCAAACTCAGCCCTCCAGATGTTTTTGGCCTACAACTCCCATGATCCCTAGCTAGCAGGACCAGTGGTCAGGTATGGTAGGAATTGTAGTCTCAAAACATCTGGAGGGCCGAGTCTGAGGAAGCCTGCTATATTGGGTACATCTAGACACAGGAAAATAATGCTATGAATAAATCTTAAATTAGATTGTTACAGTATAACAAAAGAAAAAAAATCTCTATGGAAAATTGTCTTTTAAAATTTCCTGCTCTCTGGCGCCATCTAGTGTTGCTCATTCAAATTGTTGTTTCTTTACCAATGTAGCTGAGTCCATTATTTACTATCAATGAAATGCCTGACATTATATTGAGTAAAATGGGTGTGTTCTTTGGAGGACAAAAATAAAAGCTTTTAAATTCCAAGGATCTTGGGAAGCGTGTAGTGCACCCTTGTGCTCAATGCACCATGTCACTTTGCATCCCACACCCCATCACTGAGGGTCAAGGCCACATAGTCTTAGGAGTGAAAGGCAGATACAGTGGTACCTCAGGTTACACACTCTTCAGGTTACATACACTTCAGGTTACAGACTCCACTAACCCAGAAATAGTGCTTCAGGTTAAGAACTTTGCTTCAGGATGAGAACAGAAATTGTGCTCTGGCGGCGCGGCACCAACAGGAGGCCCCATTAGCTAAAGTGGTGCTTCAGGTTAAGAACAGTTTCAGGTTAAGAACGGACCTCCGGAACGAATTAAGTACTTAACCTGCGGTACCACTGTATGTCTTTCCACAATACAGTCAAACCTCCTCAACGGCTCCATTTTGGAACTTTCAGCTCCCGAATGCTAAAAACCCAGAAGTAAATGTTCCGGTCTTCAAACGTTTTTCGGAAGCCGAACGTCCGACACGGCTTCCACTTGAGTGCAGGAACCTCTTGCAACCAATCAGAAGCCACACTTCAGATTACATTCAACAACTGAAGACTGACTGTAGTATTCTTAAGTGTTGTACTTTCCCCCCCCCACAGGTGTTCACTCCAATGGGAGAATGTTACAGGTGTATTCACAATACCATTGAAGTAGAAACTCAACCTACTCTGTTTCTTTCATCACTGAGAATAAAACACTTTTCTCCATAGCCTTGTCCCCTTCTCCATTCAGGAGCAATTTGTGGTGGTATTAGTGCAACAAACAGTTGTGAAGTGGCTTGTGTATTTGTAGACTTATTTTGCTGAACTACATTTGGAAGATATGTTTAATATTTAACATGTGAACCTCAGCAGATTCATTATATCACCTTTGTATTGTGAAGTCCTATGGTTCATAGACATACTACCTCCTTCATCCTTTTCTGTCAACCTGACAACAAGAAAGATCAAAAAAATAGCTTGGTCTTCATCTCTGAATACTTAAAGGCATGGGCAAATGGAACCTTTACTAGAGAAAGGCCAGCAGATTATAATGGAGGAAAATGCCAGCCTTACATAAAAAGATCCTTTTTGAGTTCTTCTCTTGTCTCTGACATCAATTTGTAGCCAATTGTGTAGCAGTCAGCCTGCATTTCAAATACTGAAATGTCATTCTTAGAAGTACTGCGGCCCTCTGTAGTTGGTTATTTCAGCAAACAGGCACTCCAATTCAGAATGGTAGTGAGAGGAGTGTGGCACAACTTTTGCTTTGTCAGTCAAAAGCAAGATGTTGTGGTGCTACACTTTCCATGCATGAAATTAAATCCGCATGGAATTAATAGTACTTTATTCAAGCCAGAATGCCTCAGACTTGTCTCTGTCAGGATGGGTAGGCTGTGTGATTCTGCAGTCAGAAATTGAAAGGGTAGGGGAATGTGTGGTGGAGGGTGAGTGTGAAACGGGAACCAATTCACAAGGTCCTGTCAGGAGACAAGTATGTCCTTGAGCTTCACGAGTTCCATCAAGTCCACATATAAGAAATTGAATTGAAATACTTTATTGTCACTTGTACAACTTGTATACAGTGAGATTACACGAGCACCCCCCACTCAGCTCTCTTAGTCTTAATTCCCCTCGTTTACTGACGCACACCCACCAAACCCAAAAGTCAGTTGCACTGTTGTTATCTTTTCATTCAGCAGCCTAACAGCCCATGGATAGAAGCTGTTCTTTACCCTGTTGGTGTGAATAATCATGCTTCTATATCTTCTGCCTGATGGCAGGAGATCAAGAAAGTGCCGGCCAGGGTGTGACTCATCCGTGAGAATTTTCTTCACTCTCCTGAGGCAATGTTCTTCCACTATTTCATCCAGCAGATTCATGGGACAGCCCATAATATCTTGTGCTATATTCACCACCCTCTGTAGGCACTTCATATCAGATGATGTCAAACAGCGTACCATGCAGTATGAAAGTACACTTTCTATGGTTAACCGGTAGAAGGAGATCATCAAATGTTGATTGACATTCTTCCGCAATACTCTGAGGAGATGCAGTCTCTGTTGGGCTTTCTTAACCACCTGGGTTGTATTTATTTTCCAAGTAAGGTCTTCACTGAGATAAACTCCTAGGAATTCAAAGGAAGTGACTTTCTCCACACAGCCCTTCCAGATGTACAGTGGGGCTAGTTCTCCTCTCTTCCTCTGAAAGTCCAACACCATCTCCTTTGTCTAAATTCTCTGACAACTTCACTTCCTTTACTGGGATATACATTATGTCCACTCACTCCTGCATGAGACAGATGTGAAACTAGTGGGCATTAATCTGGGCCCCAAGGTAGACAATGTTCTTCATGGGCTTCAATTCACACTTTTCCAAATTCACCTCAAATCCATGTGTCCTGAGCCACGATAGTGGGGCCTGGACTTCTCTTCTGTGCTGTCCCCTCAACAGGGCCTTGATGAGAATGTCATCAAGACAGGAATGGAGCCTGCACCCACAGGGTCCTGTGATGAGCCATCAAAGCTACTAAGAAACTGGTGAAAACCCTGGGGTCAGAGGTGAGGACAGAGATGAGGGGGAGAGCTCTGTGCTGGTAACACTGGTTACCATACCAGAAATCCTGTGGCTTCAGTTGAATGGGTTATAAAGATATGCTTCCAACAGTTCTCTTGATGCCATCCAGTCACCTTAATCAATAGATTTGGCGATCGCCTTCAGATCTTCCATTTTGAACCATTTGTACTCCATCAACTTGTGGTCCAAATTTTACAGAGTATCCTCATTATTTTTCAGGGCAAGGAATATAATGGAGGAAGCCCAAGTTCCTTTCTTCAAGGCTAAAACCAATAGCACAGCTCTGAAGGTTAGCAATGGCTTTATGACTTTGTCTAGTTTCATGGAGCCTGGAATTATCATGAACTTCACCCTTGGCACTCTGGAAAACTCTAAAGAGGAAACTCTTTATATCGCTCACTTCTCTGTTGTCATTCTAATCCATTCAGGGGCCAAACAATGAAGTCTGTCCCCAGCATCACCCCTTGCAGCACGGGGCTTCTGGTATTTTGATGACAACATAGTGACGGGGGGGGGATAGTTTCACTATCAGCAATGACAGTGGTGGACCTTGGGGTCTCAAATTTCAGCAGACCCTGTACAACACAAAAATTTGGTACCGCTTGCCTCTTGCCTTCCATTTTACATCACAGTTGTGGGACCCTCAAGGCTCTGCACCCAGTGTGAACAAACCAGTTGCACTCCCCTAAATATGCCTCTGGTGATGATTCTTGTCCTGTAAAACCAGACCCATGCAGCACAGACTACAGGCTGTTGTTACTAAAGAGTCTTGGGGCAACTGCCAAATTTATCACCGCAAAAGTAGACTAGAGGCCTCGTGCATACAAATTTGCTGATATAAATACACATGGGGGAGCTTGAAGTTGTAAGCACTGATCTCAGAGGGAAATGAAATGCAGAAAGCACAGGCAGTTGCAATTATATGATTAACAGTGACCATTCATAAAGAATGTGTAGATGTTAGCACAAACATCCCGACATTGGTCTGCTAATTAATATTGGTTTTGCAATTAGAATCCCTGGGAAAGCAGGCTGTACCCCAGTGGTAGAACATCTGCTTTGCATGCAGAAGCTTACAGGTTCAATTGCTGGTGTTGCCAGGTATGGCTGCAAATAATTCCGACCTTAAACACTGCCAGTCAATGTAGAAAACTCTAAGTTAGATACAGGTAGCTTTCCATGTTCCTAGCCCATTTCCCCAATTCAAGCCACATGCAAAAGAATGGAATCTCTTGATAGCTGTAATTCACTGGTTTTCTGTCGCAGTCTCCCTCAATGGGATGGATATCTTTAGCAGTGATTAGCTGCTAATCCATTTTAATCACTCTGGCATTAGAAGTTAAACACGGTGCCTTCATTAGTAGAGGGAAAATGAGTAATGTTATGAAGCAAGGGAAAATACAAAAAAAAAAAAAAATCAGGAATGTGACAAGATCAAAAGGAAAGCATTCTAGTTTACTTGGACCTCAGAAAGCTTTGCAGATTTAGACATGAGTACTGAAAAGTGAACACAATTGTAATTTGTTTTGGAAATGCAAGCTTATCCAAAATTCCATTCATAATAAAAAGTTATTCATTAGAGATCAGAGTGCTTAATACCATGCCACAGGATAGTCACAAAAGTGGGACTTTCCTCAGGTAATAGAAATTGATTGTTAGTTATTTTTTATTACTGTTTTATGTATTTGTTGTTCTAGCCTGCTCTGGGGTTATAGGATAAAATATGGAATATTAAGTTTAATAAATAAATAAGGCCTCAAGGGAGAAATAGCTTGATTCATTTGCTATACATCTAAATATGGGATCAGCAAAAATAGAAGCAGCAGCCTGCTCTGGTTATTAAGCTATGATTCATCTTTTGTAAGGTCTTTTGGGATGTTTGGTTTACATGCTCAACAAGTGAGCCAATCCCTTGCAGTTCTATTTTTTTAATCTCTGTTCAGTAAACATTTTACACATATTTGTTTTAATGCTTTCATTTCTGTGTTGTTTTTTTTATTTTAGTGAAATTAATTCAATCAATTAAAGCAGCCCATCAAATGTCATGTTAAAAAAAAAAATCAACACTGTTTAGAAGGTAAATTATGTAAAGTAATGGTTAAAATGCTAATGAAAAGATACCAGCAAATATGATTAGCACTCCAAACAAGATCCTGGCAGATTCAATCCCAACATAATCATGTCACCTCTGTGGAAGGAATACAAATGAGATGTTCAGGAAGGAGACAGTTGGAGAAAAACAGTATTTTAAAATATTATATCAACTCTGCTTCTGGTACATCATGGCCGCTACAAACCATTGCCCACGATGCACCGACCCACAATAAATCAGACCTCTAATTCACCAGTCATAATCCATCATGAGAGAGCCAGACAGGAGAAATTGTGTTGTATTGCACAGTACACGCCTTTCTGAGATCTATAGCTCCTTGGCGATCTGGGAAATTTAACAGCTACACAATGTGCTGAAGTAACGATGCTTTTAAATAGCAGCTAATCAGAGCAAACAAATAATTGTTTCCACACCTAAGATGCAGAAGAGACAATGGTTGTTTAGGAATTGGAAAGTAAAACTGCTACCCAGCAATAGTGTTGAATGTCATTCTATGAAACAGATAACCCTGGATTTTAAAAAAAAAAAAACCAAAGCAGCAGAGATACAAAAAAAAAAGAAAGAAAGAAAATAACTGACATGACTCTTACATTCATATGAATATTAATTAATGTGGCATTCTGGCTGATCAATTTAGTCTCCAACCTGTTGAAAAGACTGCTAACTATACTACAATTACTATACTACAAGTCATCATGCTAAAATGTCTCACAGCATCAGTAACACTGAAGAGAAAGTGTAAACAGAAGGTCACATACTCATTTTAGCAATGTTCAGGAAAAGGGAGAGGAATCCTTCAAGGATTTCCTCTAAGGAAAGGAAGTCCTATCACTAGGGGAAAACCACCAGAGGATCTTTCTCCTACTCTTTCTGTATGGATGTGTATGGATGGAAGAGGCAGCAGTCTGAACCTCAATGCAATTTTCCCAGGTCATTTAAGGACCTAGATTTCATTGCACACAAAAGTTATAGAAAATGTGCATGCATTTGTGTGTATGTGCACACTGTACAGGGTGAGTCTTTTAAAAGAGGCGCCGTGGAACATGTGTACTCTGTATCCATGGGGCCTCTTTTAAAGGACTCACCCTATATGTAGATGTATAGGATGCAGTTTCATTGTAAATGTACATCAAAAGGTGTGAGGAATATGCACAAACTTCTGAAAAAAATGCTTTGAGGAAGCAGACAACATACAGAGACAGCAAAAATATTTTTGTTTTTTAAAAAAGCATTACATATCCTGTTATCAGGTGATTGACGGGTGGGTGGGTGGGCGGATTGACAGTTGGCCCGCCTGCCAGATCCACTTACAAACCATTAGCCTAAGGCCACCTAGTGAGTTCATGACCAAAATGAAATTTCAATTGGCTCGTGTTCTTAGCCACTATTCCAAAATAGCACTAGATGTAAGAAGCCAAACATGATTCGTAAAGCTAGATGTGTAAGCCCTACAACACAATATTGAAGTATATTATTACAGTACTTCAGAATACCCCCTTCCATCCCTTCTAGTTTCTCACACACAAACCCGCTGACCAGAAATTGTCAAGAGGTTGTACCTAGTGATGGAGAATATTCTCGAGAATGAGATTCAGAAAGTCCTTCTATGTTTTCTTAGCTCTGATAAGTTGGAACAGGAGTAAGAGAGATAATTTACTCTTGGGGCCTTAAGTTGGTAGTTACACCCCTCTCAACCTCACAGGGATTCTATATCAAGAGGACCGGCATTTAACTGTTATCATCTTCCACACCTCTGTAAACTGGCAATATGCAAGCAAAGATGGGAACAATCCAGGATTATATCAAGTTCATGCGGATTTTCAATATCTAAGTAGATGCACCTCATTTTGTGTGTGAATAAACAGCATCTTTTTAAAAAACAAAAGCCAAGGAAGGCACAAAACTGTATTTTTTAAACAAAGACAGCGGACATTTGAGGAATATGAACTAAAAATTAAAGAGGGAAAATTAAATTCACCCCTGTTCTCTTTTTTGTAACAGTGATTTTCAGTTCAGAAAATCATTCAAAATTATTTCAAACTTATGAGGGGCAAGAGAAAGTGTGGACAGCTTATGTCCCCTGTTTTCACTCATCTGCAATATTTGAAATGCAAGTTTTCATCCATTTAATAGCTCACTCATCCCTCCATGCAGAAATTTATGGATACCACCCCTTTTCCCAAGTTTGGTGAGGGTGGAGGTGGAGACTGTTCAAACCCACCTTACCTGAACTGCATTGGGCTCTAACCAACCAAGCTTACCAACAGAAATTGGCTTTCTTTACTTTGAAACAGGGATCAAAGGTTGGTTATGCAAATGAGGATTAATTGGTTGTTATCAGGGTGTACCTAGCCTCTATTAATGTTATTACCCACTTCAGGCATGTGCAAAGTCTGCTTCAGATATCTGGCCCTCTTTGAAAAAAGTTTGGGCACCCCTGAATTCTACTTGATATATTGCCTCCTCATCTTCCCTTTCCCCTTCCTCTTTCCTCTCTCCTGTCATTCTCTCCACTCACATGATCATATCTTTACAGTAACCAGCAATTTTCTGCATCCTGTTGCTCAACTGTGAACCTGCCCACCAACTGGTTGCTTTAAAACACAAGCCACAATTTGGGACTTGCAATTCCAGTTCGCCCTAAGTAGATATGTTAGGTCTCAGATGAAATAAATCTCCAGGCCATTTGTCTGATTGCCACCCCTCTCCATTTTTCTGGGCCTTCACATCTCCAGCTTGTCCAGTTGGCCATGCTCCCTGGCCCATCCCACATAATTGTGACATCACCAGGTACTGATTTGTGACATCACTAAGTCAGCCTCAGGCTTTGGAAGAGTGAGATGTGGCAACTGTAGCCCTGTCATCCTCCATACTCACATCAGGGCTTCAATAGAATCATTCCCTTCCATCCTGTGCAACTGAGTCCACAGCAGATTTTGAATCTGTTACCTGGGGGACATCGAGTGAGGAATTTGCCTTGTCACCAGCCATAGGAATCTGGCTATGAGGTATATTGAATGTTGGTTACTCATTGACCAGCCGGGGTTGAGAGCTGGGTACATGTCTGCCTATGTGTGTACATGAGCAGTGGCATAGTATGGGGGGTGCAGGGGGGCCCGGTCGCACCAGGCGCAACATCTGGGGGGGCGCTCGCACTCGCAGCTCTCTGCCCCTACCGGGTTAGGGGGCACAAATTACTTGCCTTGCCCCGGGTGCTGACAACCCACGCTACGCCACTGTACATGAGTGTATATGAGAGAGTGTGGGGTCAGCACACCCATTGTTGAACCTAAGACTAAAAGAGGACATGTCTCATGGTGCGGGGGGGGGAGGATTTTATTTTTAAAACAGCCCAATGTGTTTTGACCAGTGCATATTTAAAGGCTTTCTTCAGGGAGTTGCAAAACAGCTAGCAGAGATCTCTTTTGGATACATTTCCCATTAACTGGGTCGCCAGTTAATGTTAATGCAGTTAACGTGTAATGCAATGAATAAAGGACCAATTTGATATGATCCACTCTTCCACATCTGTAATTTCTCCGTTCAGTTTGAACCACACTAATTTTAATAGAAAATTTTGAGTCAGAAAATTGAGATAATGGTAAGTGTGCTTAATGTGCTTTTAACAGATTCAGTCGTGTTCAGTATCTCTGAAGCGGTATTCGATACAGGAAAAATAAATCAGAATGTAGTATCTGCTGCAAAGCTTTCTTTTTCTCAAAATAATTGACAATGTCTGGAATTTATGAGATGCCATCGTAGAGTTAGAAGGAACCACAAAGATCATCTAAGTCCAATTCCCTTCAGGTCCTCATAGCTTCCTGTCCAGCTCCACACATCACAGCTTCACCAATAGTCCATGTTCTTTATAAATTGATATAGCAAATGTTGAAATTAGTTTATGTATGTTTGAGGCAGCCAGCATGGTGTATTCCACATACTACAATGGACTACAACGCCGTTCTTTCCTGACCATGTTGACTGGGAGTTGATTTTAAGCTACCTTCAATCATAGAATCAAAGAGTTGGAAGGGACCTGCAGGTCATTGAGTCCACCCCCCCTGCAGTGCAGGAATATGCAGCTATCCCATATGGGGATCAAACCTGCAACCTTGGTGTTGTCAGCACCATGCTCTAGCCCAGGGGTAGGCAACCTAAGGCCTGGGGGCCGGATGCGGGCCAATCGCCTTCTCAATCTGGCCTACGGACGGTCTGGGAATCAGTGTGTTTCTACATGAGTTGAATGTGTGCTTTTATTTAAAATGCATCTCTGGGTTATTTGTGGGGCATAGGAATTCGTTCTTTTTTTTCTTCAAAATATAGGCTGGCCCACCACATGGTCTGAAGGACGGTGGACCAGCCCACGGCTGAAAAAGGTTGCTGACCCCTGCTCTAGCCAGCTGAGCTATCCAGCAAGATGGTTTCCTTTACTTACCCCTGCCTTCTCATAACACAAAGGCTGCATCCTTTTGTTTCTGGCCTCCTTCTAGTTTGGAATTTTTACATTTGTAAAACACACCTTCTCCTAAGGACTTGGTGCAGCACATATATCCCATTTGATCACGAGCTCCAGACATGCCTAGAGCACTCAACTGCATGGCAGTGTCCATGCAGTTTTGTTCCCTGTTTGTCTTCCTCCTTATCTTGCTCCATAATCTGATGAGCCCCAGGATAGGAAGACTGCCTGTGAGGTTTATAATCTTATACGTTAAACAGAATTGCATTACTTTTGTAGTTTAAAAAATGCAAGGTTTTGGGAGCAATAGCTGAATTCTCTTTGTGTGTGCGCGCACACACACACACACACACACACACACACGGGCACTCTCCTAACCTGATTTTATCAAAATGCTCACTTTACATCCCTGTAAAGCTAAGACACAGTGTTTCATTGCGAGAGACATTTGCAGCCAACACAGTTCAGCAGGCAATTTATTCGATTTCATATTTCTTTTAGCTGGACTATCCCATTTCTGATGTGTGTATTGCAGTTCAACCTCTTAGAAAAATACACCTACTGTATCTTCATTTATTCGTATAGCCTGTCATCAGGGCATAAATACAAAGTTCACTCAGGAGACACACAAGAACAGAAGGAAGCCGAAAGGGTAACCTTTGTGAGATGAATTTATTTTTTTAAAATGGATGGGGAATTGGGGAGGGAGGAATAGTAAAGTAGGATGATTCACTCTCTAGCATTCACATTAAGATTTATTCAATTACCGCAGCAGCGTAACAGAGCCAGGATAGCTTGTGAATGCTGGGTGGGTCAGTATGACCCTCAATTCTAAAATCAAGACTATACTCTTATGAGAGAATTATCAGAAAGAAATTGGTGCCCTGAAAGAGAAACCCAATGTCTTTATAATATCTGCACATTTCTTTAACAATGAGGACATCACATATCTTGCGATAAATTCAAAGCCTTGAAGAATATGCTAGGAATAGACTTTGGACTTTCAAATTTCAGTGGTGCCCTGCGTGGACCCAAAATTCAGGGGGACCTCACCTCTCACCTTCTCTTCTGCTCATGCAGTACACCATAGTTGTGACACTCTGTGACGCCCCCTAGACTCAGCACCCAGTGTGGCAGAACCAGTCACGCTGCCCTAAATTCACCTCTGAATACACTCTATTTGAGATCTCGTCTGTGAAATTAGGCACGAACTATACCTGTTTCCAAATCTACTTCAGTAGCTTGTCTTAGCCTCACAGACATTGTAAGCAATATGTAAAGGGGTAGTTCTAGAAGAGTAGCATGCTAGTGCTCTTCTCATTTTCCCATTCATGTTTCCAATCAAAATTTGCAGGTGAGTGGGATCACAGATGCCAGCCCCATTTCATTGTTGTTGTTTAGTTGTTTAGTCGTGTCTGACTCTTCGTGACCCCATGGACCAGAGCATGCCAGGCACTCCTGTCTTCCACTGCCTCCTGCAGTTTGGTCAAACTCATGCTGGTGGCTTCGAGAACACTGTCCCACCATCTCGTCTGTCGTCCCCTTCTCCTTGTGCCCTCAGTCTTTCCCAACATCAGGGTCTTTTCCAGGGAGTCTTCTCTTCTCATGAGGTGGCCAAAGTATTGGAGCCTCAACTTCACAATCTGTCCTTCCAGTGAGCACTCAGGGCTGATTTCCTTAAGAATGGATAGGTTTGATCTTCTTGCAGTCCATGGGACTCTCAAGAGTCTCCTCCAGCACCATAATTTAAAAGCATCAATTCTTCGGCAATCAGCCTTCTTTATGGTCCAGGTCTCACTTCCATACATCACTACTGGGAAAACTATAGCTTTAACTATATGGACCTTTGATGGCAAGGTGATGTCTCTGCTTTTCAAGATGCTGTCTAGGTTTGTCACTGCTTTTCTCCCAAGAAGCAGGCATCTTTGCATTACCATTTCATTACCTCTATGCATTAGGCAGAATGTTAATTGCAGGCGCTGCACATATATGCATACGGCTTTGCATACTTCTGGAATCATAACTGTGCTTAGCTTCTCATTTATATATGTAGGCCCTATACAGGTTTTCAACCTTTCTGAACCCAGGACTCCCTTGACCAACCACATTCTTTCTGAAACTCCCCTGTGGAAGCCACTTACACTGGGGTTCCATTACAGGATGCGCATAAGTGGGGATTTCCCTGTTCAGCGCCATTTTTGGCTCATGTTTAAGTGGGAATGCATGTGTCCTCTGAATGTTCCTCAGAGAGAAAACGCTCATGCAGGGAGATATGGGCTGCAAGTTAATGAAATAACAGCCCCTGGGGCTCCCCTGAACGTTCCTCAAGTCTCCCCAGAGAGCCACAGCACACTGGCCGAAAACCAATGCTATGCACACAAGGGTGTGGGTGTGTGCATGTGTGTTATGCTCCGCTCAAAGGCAGAAGCCTGAGGCAGTGCCAGCAGACAAGGGAGATTGGAGGCAGGGCCAGATGGTACTATCCCACTTCCCTCCATGATTTACTGAACATGTAGAGGGGGATGTGAGAAGAGGCCACAATGCAAAAGTATAATCATTTTCACCTTGTGGAAATTGAAAATGTTATTTGCTATATTGAGGGGGCTGTATGCTACAGTCACAGAATATACAGCCTTCAAAATTACATTTTGAGACAGGAAAGTTCTGTGAATCAATGGGGCATTTCTGCTGCTTGTCACACACCCCTTTTAAAGGAGGAGGAGTATTTCCTCAGAGGGTGGTGTAACAAGAGAGCTTACAACCTCATAAGAGGCTGGAAATCATGCCTAGAAAATACCAAGTTAGGTCCATCTGAACCTTTTCCTCCAATGACCTACCATGGAGGGGGAAGGGAACTGGGTGGACTCCTTGGGACAGAAATGAAGCAAGGAGAAAAGAAATAAATATGGATGTTTTGACATTTCAATTAAGGCCAAATGAGTCTAGCAATTCTGTACCAGCTTTTGTGTGTGTGAGGTTTGTTTTTGTTTTTCATGGCACTAATGATAGCTTCTGGTAGGAGGGTGATTTAGATCAGGGCAAGAGCAAGGAAAGAAAGGATTTAAAGCACCACTTCTGTGTCCTTCAAAGCAGTGACACGTGAGATCCTAATCATGTGTCTACTTTGACCTTAAATCTTCATTAGATTTGGAGTTTATTAGGTTCCGGTCTAAATAATCAAAAAACTATCTGGAAAGTTAATCTAGCAATGATGAGGAAATGGGTCATGAAAAGGACATCAAAGGTCATTTAGTCAACTCCCCTATGCCAATGCAGGAAAGCCATTACTGGACTTTTCCTGATAAATGACCACCCAGGGTCCACTTAAACACCCTCCGTGAAGGAGAATCCACTATCTACTAAGGAAGTCTGTTCCATTATCAAATAATTTGTACCATCAGGAAGTTATTCCTAACATAAATTCGGAATCCCAAATGTGGGAAACTGCTGGCCTGGCAGTTGAAGAAACGACAAAAACTTAATACTATCACTAATTTAGAAGTGGAAGGGAAAAATATCCAGAATCCAGAAGAAATTAGGAAATGCTTCCAGAGATATTTTAAACAATTATACACACAAGGGCCTCAGAAAGAATTTGAGATAGAGCAATTTTTGAAAACCAATGGATTACAAAAAATTTCTCAGGATAACAAGATATTGTTGAACTATAAAATTACAGAACAGGAGGTTGAAGGTGCCATTCAGAATATGCAGTTGGGAAAATCTCCAGGACCGGATGGTTTAACCTCAAAATATTACAGAACTTTGAAAGACTGGTTAATTCGACCTTTAACTGAGGTTTGTAATGAAATTTTAGAGGGGAAAAGAGCGCCAGAGTCGTGGAAAGACGCATTTATTACACTTATACCAAAGGCTGAGACTGAAAAGACACAGCTTAAGAACTACAGGCCCATATCCCTGTTAAATGTGGATTACAAAATTTTCGCTGACATTTTAGCAAAAAGGCTTAAAAAAGTGCTAAAAGGAGTGATTCACAAGGACCAAGCTGGCTTTCTTCCAGATAGACATCTTTCGGACAACACAAGGAACATAATTGATATTCTGGAGAAGCTGCAAGAGGAGATCAATACTAAAGCAGTTTTGATTTTTATGGATGCAGAGAAAGCCTTTGACAATATTTCTTGGAGTTTTATGAAAAAAAATCTTCAGGGGATGGGGGTAGGCCAAGAGTTTGAAAATGGTATAAATGCAATTTATTCAGAACAAAAAGCTAAAGTAATAGTTAATAATGTGATAACAGAGGAAATTAAGATAGAGAAAGGGACACGACAAGGCTGCCCAATTTCCCCATTACTTTTTATTTCTGTTCTGGAGGTTTTGTTAAATATGATAAGAAGGGACCATCTGATTAAGGGCATAACGGTCGGAGCGAAACAATATAAACTGAAAGCTTTTGCAGATGACCTTGTACTGACATTACAGGAGCCAGAATCTAGTACGAAAAGAGCATTAGAACTGATTCAAGAGTTTGGTCAGGTGGCAGGTTTTAAGCTGAATAAGTTTAAAACTAAAGTACTTGAGAAGAATTTAACACCGATTGAAAAAGAGAGGTTTCAGAATGAGACAGGTTTAACAGTGGTAAAAAAAGTGAAATATCTGGGGATTCACATGACAGCTAAAAATGGGAATTTATTTAAAGACAATTATGAAAAATGCTGGTCGGACATTAAAAAGGATTTAGAAATATGGACAAATTTGAAGCTTTCCTTGTTAGGGCGAATTGCTGTCATCAAGATGAATGTATTGCCAAGAATGTTGTTTTTGTTTCAATCAATACAAATAATAGACAAAATGGACTGTTTTAAGAAGTGGCAGAGAGATATTTCTAAGTTTGTCTGGCAGGGCAAGAGGCCCAGGATAAAATTTAAAATATTGACTGATGCTAAAGAAAGAGGGGATTTGCCCTGCCAGACTTTAAACTTTATTATGAATCAGCAGCTTTCTGCTGGTTGAAGGATTGGTTACTTCTGGAAAATACTGATGTTTTGGACTTAGAAGGTTTCAATAATGTGTTTGGGTGGCATGCATATTTGTGGTATGACAAGGTTAAAGCTCACAAAATATTTAAAAATCATATTGTCAGGAAAGCATTGTTCAATGTATGGATAAGATATAAAGACTTATTGGAGAATAAAACCCCAAGGTGGCTATCACCAATGGAGGCAAAGGCCCTAAAAAAGTCCAATATGGAGGCCAAGTGGCCAAAATATTGGGAGATCTTGGAACAAGGAGACAAATTCAAATTGCAGAGTTTTGAAAAATTAAAAGATAGAGTGCGAGACTGGTTGCATTATTACCAAATAAGAGAGGTCTATAATTTGGATAGAAAAATTGGCTTCCAGGTGGAAAAATCAAAGTTGGAAACAGAACTGCTAGATTCCAAAACTAAAACACTTTCAAGAATGTATAACTTGCTGCTAAAATGGAATACTCAGGATGAAACGGTAAAATCTGCTATGATTAAATGGGCACAGGATGTTGGACATAACATTATGTTTGCTGACTGGGAACGGTTATGGACCACAGGTACGAAGTTTACAGCATGTAATGCTTTAAAAGAGAATATAATGAAAATGGTGTACAGGTGGTACATGACCCCAGTCAAGCTTGCAAAAATCTACCATTTGCCCGATAATAAATGTTGGAAATGTAAGGAAACTGAAGGTACATTCTTTCACCTTTGGTGGACGTGCCCAAAGATTAAGGCCTTCTGGGAAAGAATATATAATGAGTTAAAAAAAGGTATTTAAGTATACCTTTCTAAAGAAACCAGAGGCCTTTCTCTTGGGCATTGTTGGCCAATTGGTGCTAAAGAAAGACAGAACTTTCTTTATGTATGCAACAGCAGCAGCAAGGATACTCATCGCAAAGTATTGGAAGACACAAGATTTACCCACTCTGGAAGAATGGCAGATGAAGGTAATCGAATATATGGAACTGGCGGAGATGACTGGCAGAATCCGTGACCAGGGAGAAGAGTCGGTGGAAGAAGATTGGAAGAAATTTAAAGTCTATCTACAGAAATACTATAAAATTAATGAATGTTAAATTGAGGTCTGATTGAAAATAACTGGTATTGGCAAAAGCCTTGTGATTAAGAGCATGGAATATTTGATTGATAAGGTTGTAAAAATATTTATATATAAATAGATTAAGTTTTTTGAGTTAAGATAAAGAAAGGAGGGTAAGGATTTGCTGAAAGGAGTTCTTAAATGGAAATACAAGCGGGGAGATGCGGGGAAGTCAAAGAACTAGGTAAGATAAGAAGGTTAAATGAAAGTATAATATCTTTTAAATTTTTCTGTTTCTTTTTCTTTTTTTCTTTTTTCTTTCATTGTTATGGATACTGTTATTTCTGTTTGCTTTTTGTTATTGTTATTGTTGTTTTTTGTTTGTTGAATTTTTGTATTTTTGCATTTTTTGGAATTTTTCTTGTAAAACCAATAAATATTTTATAAAAAAAAAAAAAAAATAAATTCGGAATCCCCTCTGTTGCAGCAAACTCACTGGTTTGGTTCCTATCCTCTGGATCAACATAAATTTGCTCCAGACCTGAAAATGGCCATCATATTACCTTTTAATCATCTTTTGTCCAGGGCGAGCACAGCCAGCTCCGTTAGTCCTTCCTAATAGGAGCTGAGCTTATGTCACTTGCCATCATTGTTACCTTCATTTGGGTACAGTCCCCCAGGTGAAGCCTGACCAAAGCAGAAGGGGGTGGTCCAAAATTGCTTCTTATGTGCCAGACAATATGCTGTTGGATGCAGCCTAGGATTTTAGCTGCAGCACTACATGGCTGACTCATAGTTAATTTTTGATATGCTAAGACCACGGCTTTCTGAAGAGCTGCAAATCAACAGAGACATGCAGTCATTCCTTTATTCACACCTTGAGCTGATGCACAAAACCAAAACAACCACATAAGACCCGCCTTGTGTTAGAAGACACAATCTGAAGGTTGAATAGAATGCTGGATGAGACAAGTCTGATAGGACTTATTCTTTCATAAGGCAATAGGAGTACCCAAAACTATTTTACCAGGGAAGAAACCAAACATGTTGCTAAAGAGGTCATTAGAACTGATAAGGACCAACCTCTAATTTCACATCAATACAGTGGAGAAAGGTGGGAGGGACGCTCACTTTTAATGCTTTAGCTCAGAATAATTTCAGCCTTAAAGGTTAAGATTCAATACACCATACAACGAGTTCCATGTATTCAATGTGTGTGTGTGTGTGTGTGTGTGTGTGTGTGTGTGTGTGTGATTTCTTAAAAAGCTGACTCCTGTGCAATATACCAAACCACGTTTGGAACTTGTGAGAGGGTTGCCGTTTATGACAGGGAAAGATGCTTACTGTTCAAAAAAAGGGGGGGGATATTCCAATGGACATATTGAAGCCCCTCAGCACGCTTTGGCTCATGGCCAAGCTTAACTGAATGGGGGGGGGGGGATGGTGGAATCTATGAAACAGCACCATAAGTGTCTTTCCTGCAAACAGAGTAAGGTGTACCCAAAAATAAAGGATCTTACACTCCCTTTTGTAAAAGTAGCGTAACAGTATCTTTGGAGCAAACTGCACAGTTGAACTTGCTTGCATATTTGTTGAAAAGTGGTGCTGTCTCACTCTCAGACTCTTAACAGTCAGTCTCAAGAGGATATCTCAGTGGTTAAAGAACAATGCTCATGCTTTGACAGATAGGAAGAAGCTTTAGAAAACTTCACTTAAGCATTCCCAAATCAGGGAGGCATATATCTAGAAAAAGAGGTGCTGGAACTCACCATGCATGCCTCCCTTGTTCTCTTAGAATGGCAATAGCACCCACCTGAGAGGTGCCAGAACTGAGTTCCAGCTGAATATATGTTTGTCTGGCTGAATATGTTTATACACACTATAAACATGATAATTTCGCACCCTGCTTTAACTAAGCCAAGGGATCTCAAATGAAGCTCTCCCCATCCCCCACCCCTGCAGAACATGGCATCTGCATCCCCATTGTAAGATTCTATACAAGACTTCAGACAACCAGCTTGGAAGACAGAGGAGTGATTGATTATATGCATAATAAGCCCCGACATCTGTATGCCTAGATTGAAGGGACTTTGCACAAAGCAGCCCAGCTTCTTGTTCAAAAGACAAAACCCATCAAATGCATAAGAAAACATCTCTGATCAGCTCAGTACATTTGCAAAACGGGCTCTTTGATTTGTCCGCCTCTAGGCCAGAGACCATTCATTCCAACACAAGAGATATCGCACACAGAGGTGGCCTTTGCTGCATCAGGAAATGTGGGCACAGGCTAGATGCCCTGGGTACCTCTGTTGCCCTGAATCTTTGGACATGAGTTATTGAATGTGGGCCCTGTTTGCACTGCATGGTGTGAACCACCAATCACTGTGTCAGGCTACACAAACATTGTTGGGCACGGCTATATCTGGATGGGTGCCAGAGTGTTTTGAAATAAAAGTGAACAGCAGCAGAACAAAGGAGTACACCTTTACATATCAAAGGTGTTTTGTGTTTTTGAAAGGGATAGCCATTCATTATTCTCAACAACATCCTGGTGCACTCCCAAACCTCTTGCTTTTGCTAATGGGACTGGTGAATGAGCAATGAGAGGACTCTGAATTTGTGTTATAGCAACCCATTGTCACAGCAACCAGCAAATAGAGTTCTGCCATCTTCCAGCTCCCTTTGCTATAAAGGGTTTGGTATGGATCTCAGCGAAAACTTAATTTGGATTTGAAGCTTACCATTTAAAATAGGTACATTGGCTGGGAAGGTTACAAGACCCCCTTCCCAAAGCCATATTAACATTTGAAATAATAAAAAAGATCATTTGGAATGAATTAGTTCTTTCCATAAATATGTTTGTGATACCGCTTTGTGATAGTTACCTGTTTGAGAGGGGGCTCCCATGCCTTTTATTTGTAATATTTGCTAACCTAACATCTACTCTGACAGCTGAAAAACAAAAGCTTTCATTCTTATTACAGCTATTCTCTTTGGCAGATATTTCTCCCTCCCTGACCTCTCCAAATACACATTGGGCTTGAAATGAATGGTTTTGTTTGATTCCTTTCCTCCAGAGCAATGCAGCAGTATTTGATTGTTTTTTAAGGGATCAAGCTGCTTTTTCTATTGAGTAGCACTATCTAAACTTATGGCTTCAAAGGAAATAGTTTTTTTTTAAAAAAAATGGCACTAAGTCCCTGTGCTGTTTCACTCCCATTGGCAAGATGAGATACATTATAACATCACAACTGCACAATGCACATTTGCATTTCAAGTTCCACTAGCTGTTGGCTCTACCTCCAATCTAAAAAGTACTCCGGCAAGCCAGAAAATATGCTACAGTTCAAGATTTTGGATAGATCCTTAAAAAAATTAAAAGTCCAGCCCAATCAACACTGTTGATCTTTATTTGGTGGTCATCTCAGCCATATATGCATCCTTCATACGTCAGACATAACAAATCACTAATATTGTGAATATATGAATGAAATTTCTGAGCTAGATCAACTGTAAAGTTTCTCATCTTCTCATGCCACGCCATGCATCCCCCACAATATTTCTCTCTCAACTCTGACTGAACACCACCCTGCCATTCTAGTGCTTTGGCCTCAGGGCTGTTCATGTATATATGGTTTACCGCTCCGTGACTGTACCATCAAGTGATGACTGGCAGAGCTGTATTTGTGAACTTTCGTATCAGTTCATGACATCTGAAATGCAGTGTTTTTCAATGTAATGAGTCCACCTATTTAATTACTTGTCATCAGGTGCAGATAAATCTAGATATACATAAATGTGAGTACTGGCCTCGGAGAAAACCATTTATAAGCAAAGCTTCCCATTTACTGCCACCAGAAAAAGCCATAACATTAAAATTACTATTGTTGATGAGATTCAATATAAACCTCAAATATCTACAGTTTTTTTATTTATTTATAGTGACTATTAAAAGTAGACTGTAAACAGAAACTAGTGAGGTAGTGAAATATTACTTCTGGACCCCAAAATTTAAATGTACTTATCATATTTATATTCCAGCTTTCTTCAACAACAAATAATGAGGTCTGTTAATTTACTTGCATAGACCACTGGAGACTATAGTGATTTAAAAGAAGCCTAGAATTGACTTCACATTTTGACTAAAGCAAAATTTGAGGACATTTTGAAGTGTCTTCTTCAAATAAATCATCCAAAGGAATTCTGAGGTAAGTTCACAGAAGCCCAATAATATTAGAAAAGCTTGCTGGGGACAGACAGTATGGAATCTGTATACCTCTAAGTTGTCATGGAATTCCATCCTGAGTAAAAACTGAGGCAAATGAGGAGCGTCCTTCATAAGTGAAACATCTACACAAATTTTGAATAGGCCCCGACAGAATTTCAGTACAGCCTGCAAAAATTCACAGGTTCACACATCTGTTCCAATAACAGTATCTTCTCTTAATAGGCTACCTCTCAGGGCTAAACTAGCCATGTTTTGGGAGATCCAATCAACAGGATTCTTCCATTTTAATAGAAAAAGATAAATTTTTAAAAAATGGCAGGAGTGTGTCTATAATTCAGATCAGGGCCACAGTGCTGTGGGAAAGAGGAGCCGAGTCCCTCCCCCCATCCTTTACCCCTACTGTAATTTGCCTCCATCCAAGCTTCTATTTGCTCCACAAACATCTTTTCCCCAGCCATATTTTCCGATTTTCAATGCTTCCCCTTAGTTGCTTTTATCTTTAGAGAATAATCTTGGCTTTTAGACTTGAAGGTGGTCTTCTCATCTGCATTTTCCTAAACAGTGATGGGATTGCTCAGACAAGGGGAGCAAGAACTATCTAGGAATCGATTCACGCTGTACGTCACAAGCATATCTGCTACATGTATATTAGTACTCGTGCTGACAGATAAATAAACTGTGAAGGGGAAGTACATGCTTGCAAACATCTTGTGGGTATGCACTGATTAGGCACAGCACCTAAACACAGTCACTACCTGTTCATCGCAGGTGTGCCTCCCCTCAATGTGAGGGGTTGTCCACACCAAGTGCTACTGTGAACATAGCTAACACACTCACTGCATAAAGTGTGTGTGTCAACCCTAAAATTGCAAAGTTACTCAGCTTTAGAGACAGCCACCTTGAAGAAGTAAAGGGAATCCCAAGGAAAAGCTTGCTTGAGGCTTGTGGATTGAGCAAAATCCGAACATTTACATACTTGTCTCTGGCTAATGTTCTTTGAATTCTCTTGACAGCAGGATTATACATATTCTATATATTTTAAAATTCAGAAATATCACAGAACAGATCATTTCTACTTTAAACAACATTAAACTTGCCTTTGTCATTTCATCTCGGAGTTTTAAATTCAGGACCATCATTAAGTCCATCTTCAAAGTCAAGGTAACTGGATTTTCTTTCAATAGATTGCTCTAGAGAAATCCTTTTCATTTTAATGGAAAGATGAAAGCTAACCTAAAAGCATCTTCTTGCACAATATTCTAATAGCAAATATATCTGCTTTTAAAAGGATGATCTTCAATTCAGTGGTCTATATCTACCACTGGATTTTGGCCTTTAAAACACATTGATTTTTTCCCCCTACTGACTTTCACAGTGCAAATGTCATTGTTAGATATAGCATTTGAACCAAGTAATAGATTCATAAACTGGATATAGTGGGGGTTTTTTCAGATTTTACCTTGGTCTCTCAATCTAATAACAACCTAACAACATTTTGAAGGAAACATCCACCTTTTAGTTTAAGTTACTGGATAGTTTTAAAACAGATAGCATTTGATTTTTGATTTTTTGGAAAGTGAGGCTGATGGTTGCTCCAGTACTAAGACAGAGAACCTGTAACCAGCACATAAATATTTCATTTTTCAAAGGAAGATTTGACCAGTAATGGCATAATTATTTCAAATTGAGAAGTAACTGAAATCTTGGCAACTTATAGACTAATTCCAAGTCAAGAAATATGGTAGAGGCCATCCTTCCATATAGAAGACTTCTCAGAGAAACTAAGGGAAGGATCCCCCACCCAGACTTGTCCACAGAAGTTCTTCCACTTGCTCAACAGCATTTTCTTCTCTTCTTCTCCTTCCCCATGCCCCCTAAAATTGGAATGCTTGTGCAAATGAATTCCACCCAATGTAATCTCTCACAACATACAGGCGCAAAAGGGGCAATATGTTAAATATATACCTCTGCCCATTCCATTGGAGCACATACATGATAGTGCAAAATAGAGGACAACCCTATCATGAAGGACAATTGTAAGGGGTGCCTGCCACACAATATTTACTGTGACAGCCACTGAAGACAGAAATTCATCTTGCTTTTACAAATTCTCCTTCACTGGTTGCTATGATCAGTCAAACAGTATTGATGGTGCCAATTAATTTCATGACATATGTTAATGTTGCATGCCACCCCAATCCCAGAGTGGTGTGAGATTCCAGAGGTCCCAGGAGCTTACCCAGGGTTCATATTCCCTTTTGGAAATGACTGTGGAGGTCTTTATGATATATGGTTTATTTACACATATATGCCTTCTGAGCCTGCAATGGAGGGGTTCCCAGCAGTAACACCCCAAAAGGGTCCTATTTCTCCCATAGCCACAGCCTTGGATTCAAGCAGAAATCAAACATTGCTCTGACACTCTCTCCAGTTTGCTGCTTTTCCTCTCACTCACATCACTGCCATTCAAAACTCTGGCTTTTTCTCTTGACAAAGGAGACACCACCCATTTGCCATCTCACACTGAGCCCCTTAATCCCCCATCACCTCACCAGGAAGTCCAGGAATTAAAAGGCTTGATTAGATTTTAACACTTGCTGGATCTGGGGATTAGAGGGGTCTGGCAAGCAGTTTAACACCCACAAAAAACTCATAACATTATTTTGAGATTTCCACTAGTAAAGACGAACATACAAAAAAGGGGAAAAGATCTGATTACCAAGCAATCAAAGATAGAACTATTTCTGCCTCTTGCTTCATGCTGAGGAACATTAGACTATTGGACTGCCTACTGAGCTACATTTGCACCACTGGCATGGGGTAGACTGTAGCAGGCCTCACTGAAGGATGAAATGCCCATTTATCACAATATAATAATATAGTGTTACAGTAGAATATCTATTTTGAATTTTGCTTGATGATTTTCAATAAAACTATTGACAGGACTGAAGCGAGACTGTTAACAGCCATACTTGAATTCAAACTTGGAGCAGAGGCGTAGGAAGGTCAGGTGGTACCCGGTGCACAAAATTTCTTGTCACCCCCCCCCCATTGATTATTATTTTTTGCCTGCAAAAATGGTTTTACGTTATTTCATATTTTCTTACAAAGGAATAATAATAAGTAATAATAATAATAATAAACTCTTATTTATATCCCGCCCTTCCCGGCTGAAGTCGGGCTCAGGGCGGCTAACATCAGATACATAACATTGGTATAAAATCAAACAATAATTAAATTACCTCCTAAAAGCATGTCAAAATCAAATTAAAGTCTAATTAGATGGCTTTCCGCAGGGTTAGGGTTGGGGACAGTAAGTGCTCCACTGAATTGAAATTTCAGCCTTCATAACATGGGAAAACAGCCAAGTAAACAGCTATTTTCGTGGAGGAGGGTCAAGATATTAACTGATATGCATGAAATTTCATATATAGCTATATAATCCCTAGTGCAGTAAGATAAGACCTTTGGAGCAGGCATTTTCAAAAACAAGTTTTTTATGAACTGCCCTAGTAGGGCAGTAATTGTTCCTTGATAATTTGTCATCTCCCTCCATGATGGAACCTAGGGCAGACCACCTCCTGCCCACCCTTCCTATGCCCCTGAGTTGGAGTATGAATTCTCCAATTGAGGGCCCCTAAGGTCAGTTGAAAAGGGACACGGGTGGTGCTGTGGGGTAAACCACTGAGCCTAGGACTTGCCAATTAGAAGGTCGGTGGTTCGAATCCCTGCGACAGGGTGAGCTTCTGTTGCTTCCGTCCCAGCTCCTGCCAACCTAGCAGTTTGAAAACACGTCAAAGTGCAAGTAGATAAATAGGTACTGCTCCGGTGGGAAGGTAAATGGCATTTCCATGCACTGCTCTGGTTTCGCCAGAAGCGGCTTAGACATGCTGGCCACATGACCCGGAAAACCTGTCTGCAGACAAACGTCGGCTCCCTCGGCCAGTAAAGTGAGATGAGCGCCGCAACCCCAGAGTTGTTCACGACTGGACTTAATGCTCAAGAGTCCTTTATCTTTACCTTTTAGGTCAGTTGCTCTCACAGTCAGGATGTTCTGTTCTATTGAACAGGCAAAAGGTCAAGTCCCCACTGTTTGTATCATACCTGGTCAACCCAGAGACCTCATACATCCTGCCTGGACTGATGAAGTTGCATGCTCCTACTCCAGTTTCCACTTGACCAAGGTCTGGGCACCCACGTACTCAGACAACTCGCTAGTCCTAGCTTTAGGCTCCTGTGTTTCTGGATTACACCCCTCAAACATTAAGAGGCATTTAAATATTGCCATGTGCAATGATTTGTAAGTTTCAGGGTTGGATAAGTTAAATCATCTCAGACAAGGACTACATCCCCAAGAAAGGAGTCGCTAGTCCTTTCACAAAGGGATTCTCATCCACAATAATGCAGTGAAATAATTAGCCTCCCCTTTCTGAAAAATATACCAAGATTTCTTTAAAGCAAATGAAGTGTGAAGGAAACCCAATTACAGGGAGCTGAACATGCAACAAGACCTGAACATGCAACAAGAAATGACAGGGGACATCCTGTGCAACAGGCATCATGCTCTGTGCATTCAGTCAAATGATGGGGCCAGTTAATTCTATTATCACATTAAACACCACTTTTAATAATATAATTCCTTTGGCTCATAAAGATATCTTTATTACTCTATGAACACAGTTCTTGTTAGATTTTAATCGTCTGTAGAATTACATTCCAGGACACCATAAAAATCCAACTGATGGTAGGTCCGACTCAAGCCCATTACCCAAATTTCTACTGAGACTGTCATCAGCTTTGTGGGAAAGGCTAGACTGAATTTTCATGAGCTTTAGTTTTCATACCGAAATCTGCATTTTCAACAAGTGGTGATGTTTTTGTTGAGCAGTATATAAATGGTGCAAAAATCAAAATTGTTTCACTATTGTTTGTCCAAGCATACGCTGTGGCAAAAGCTCCAAAAGGGCCATTTCTAGGGCTTCAAAAACTGGACTTAGTTTATAAAAATTCTCCCTTAAGCTTTCTCCCGATATGAATGCTATGCAAACCTTACCCAAGTCTTGTATCAACCACACCTCTGCTCTATCCACCAACCTCACCCACAGTAACAGGATTGCAATAACAACAGAACTGAAAAAGGGTTTCAGAATTCTTTTAGCCCCAAAATGGAAACAGCAAGAAGTACCAATGAAAGAAGAGTGGCAGATGAAAATGATGGACTTTGCGGAACTGGCGAAGCTGACAGGAAAAATCCGAAACCAGCACGATCAAGTATTCCAAAAAGATTGGGCTAAATTTATACAATATTTGAAAGATCATCGTAAGCAATTAACATCACTAGTAGGGTTGACTGAAAATTTGTAATGAGAAACTTTCTTCCTTTTTATATTTATTTAAATTTTGAGATATTTCGTAATGAGTTTAATTGGAAAACGTATAAAATGCTATGACATAAAGGTTAACTTTGACAGCCATAAGGCAGGAGGGAAGGAAATCGGTAGGCTCTAAAGAGCCAGAGAGGTAAAGTGGATAATAATGGTGTGATTATATATTGTTAAATGAAAAATTAATAAAAGTTACATTTTTTTAAAAAAAGAACTGAAACAGGGTGGATAGTTTCTACCAAGCCCTCATGATATGTGGTCTTTTCATTTCCCTAATGAAGGTGTGGAAGTTGTTTTTCTTTTGGGAACTAGTTACCTTGCCATACAGGCTGAGACTTCAGAAAAAGATCAAGTCCAAATCCCATCTTTTTTGGAAGAAGAAAACTAGCAATATGTGATTTTTTTGTTTTTCCCCCCTCTCCCATGGTTTAGATTACAGAACTGAGAGAGTGACAAACAGATTCATTCCATGGTTCAGTTCTCCTGAGCATTCGCCATGAATTTTCAACATAACTTTTGTTCCTCAGATTTGGCACCCTTCTCCTTCTCCTTTTTTCTTTTTGCATCACCCAGTTTTCTTAATTTATTTAATGTATTGCTTGCCATGAAATATCACAAAGAAATTAACATAAA